TGCTGTCGCTAATGTTTTGTGACGGCATTTTTGCCTTTTTGCGACGGCACTGTGCAGTCGCTAATAACGTTTGAAATTTCTTGACTTTTTTGCGACGACACTATTTTGCCGTCGCTAAAAATGTTATTTGAGACGGCAAAAAATACCGTCGCTAATAGTCTTCTTTTTCAACGGCAAAAACACTATTTTTTGCGACGGTGTGGTGCCGTCGCAAAAAGTATTAAAAATATGAAAATTTCTATTTTTTGCGACAGTGTAATGCCGTCGCAAAAAGTACTAAAAAATAATAAAATTTCTATTTTTTGCGACAGTGTAATGCCGTCGCAAAAAGTAAAACCTGTAACAAAATTAATAAAAATATTTTTAAAAAAAATCATCAGACACTATCTCTACTTGTGCTTCCTTATCCAATGAACCATCTTCTTTGTCCTGCCCAAACAACAAATATGAATTTATCCTTAGATCAATTAAAAAAATTATCCTGTTTGAGCCTGTTTTCCAATCTCCAGCTTAAAAAAAAAAAATAAAATGAAAGAAACCTAAACAGGAGAAGATATTCCTATTCCTTTAAAATTTTCAGTAAATTCAAAGATCACATAGAATACAGTGTAGCATGATAAAGCAACAAGCATGAAGTCCCTAGACCCACTTTGGGGCATCATTTTCCAAAACGAAAGAAATGCGTTCAAAGATCAATCACACGAGAAAGCTTCTGAATTCGGTTTAGTAGGAAGTCCCCTTGCTTGATAGTTGCTTGATAAAGAGCATTCTTTGCATCTGGACGGTTAGTTTCCAAAACACCGGCAACTTTATCAATCTTGCAGTGAAGCTTCCCTGCTGCAATAAAACGTGACACTTCCCTGGTGCAAACGAGGAACTCAATTAAACACCAATGGTTCACAATAAAAATCAATAACAATCTTACAGAAAAGATCAAAAGCATGAGTGAGTGTATCTAGGAAAATGAGATCACTTACAAATCAATGAACTCCACTGTTACTTCAAATGCTTTTGCCATTGCCTTAATTGTGACACTCTTATAGGATTCCAAGAATTGGGAATAAACCACGGTCCTAACCTCCCTCATGTATACCGGAAGTGGGGATGCAAATAACGGTCCAATTTTATTTGCTCCATCAGGCCAGCTGAAAATCAATTGGATAAAATTTCAGATTGGAATAAACTATAAGATAACGTATTCAGATTGGAACAATAGTTTCCGCAATTGATCAGCTTCATAGTAGTGGGGCATTTATACATGCATTGTATGTACTTGTGTCAACATGAGAAAGGGCTTGTGATCCTCCTTTATATATAGATCCCACATACTCAAATCTATCATGATTAGACTACTTCAGCCATTCAATTTCCAGTTCATTCTATGGGCAGTGTAAACAGATTTGAAGCTCTATAATCAAAGGCAGAATATGAATACGTCCAACATTTTGTTTACCTATCTATGTAATATATAATACTGCAAGGGTAAAATATGAGATATACAAGATAAATACTTACCAAATGCTGAGAAAAATTACTTGTACTGACAATCATATAAAGAGTTCAAAAACCCCAACAGATCTCAGGAGCATCAACTACCTGCAACATGTAGCAACACAGGCATAGTAACATGCCACATAAACAATCCCTCTCCCTCCCTTTTTTTCTTTCTTTATCACCAGGAAAAACAAAAAAGGGAAAGGAAAGGAAAGGAAAGTAAAGACAATCAAAAAAAAGAAAAGAAAACCAAAATACTGCCAGCCAAGCATCTCTCTAAAAAATTATCAAGGGGAAAACAATTCCATGCCAAAACCCTAATGTGCAACTGTGCGTACCTTCTGTTTCAAGGAAACTCTATCCAACGATATGATGCTGGTAAGGACCGTGTAAAATATGAAGTTGTCATATGGGAAAAGTTCATAAGTTGTGAAAGTTGAGATCGAATCAAGAAACAAACTGGTGGCTTTCTTAAAGTTTCGAGTAGACATGTAGTATAAGCCTTCATACACCTTTAGACGATTCTTCCTTTCCTAGTCACCTCCCTCCTCAGGCCACCACCCCTTACTTCTTTGCTTTATCAATGCTCTTGGAAATAAGATCGAATAAAAGAAGTCTACAGAAATGCATAAAAAACAAGCAGATGATTAAAGAATTGAAAGACATAACAGTTATATACCTTGTCGCCAATTCGTATGAAAAACAATGACTTGGCTAAATGGGCTTCTCTAATTTCGCTTTCACTTAAGTTTTCTTCAGCATCAGCAATCCTAATAAAAAGTGCAACCCGATAAAAGTACAAAAGAGATCAATAAACTGTACATCATATACACTTGCATTACATTTAGATACACAGAAAGGGGAGTGAAGGGAAGTATAAATTAGTGATGGAAAGAGAAGGGAGGGGAGATATCCCTCTTCTTGTTTGGTTAGATAATAATTAACCAAGGGGTAGGTAGGGTGACCTTTCCGCCCTTTTGTTTGGTTAGACAATAATTATAAAGGGAAGGTAGGTACAAAAGCCAAATAGGTAATGTTTAAAAAGTAGGGGCTGTTTGGATAGACATGGATTTCAAAAATCAAGGGATTTGACCTTGATCATTCAAGGACAATAACTCAAATTTAGAAATGCTAGTTTATTTATGTATTTCAAGATTGAGTTAAATAGTTTTATCATAATAGATTTGAAATAATTATATAAAACTAGTTATTTGAAATCATGCCAAGAATTATCTTACTAAATATAAGGATCCTTCTAAAATATACATCTTTTTTATCTATTCATTTAACCTCAAATCCCTTGACTTGAAATCCATATCTATCCAAACGGACCCTTATATACTTATGTTTTCATAAAATGAGGGGCATAATTGGTATTAAAATTATATTTAAAAACCAGCACTTCGCTTCCCCTCCATTTCCTCCCAATTTTAGAGGAGACGGAAAGCGCTCAATTTGTGGACCCTCTCTCCCCTCACAAACCCTCCATATACTTTCCATTGTTTTCTCAAAAACAATCCAAACAAAAACCAATAACTGAACCATAAGCATCATCAGACACTGTCTCCATTTGTGCATCTGTAACAAAAACCCAAGAAAAAAAAAATGAACCATCAATGCAGTTAGATCTAATAATTCCTTTCTGCTCTGATTGTATCTTTCCTTCTACGTCCACGAGGAAGTATCTGCTCAGCTGGAATAGTAATGATTAAAAACAGAATTATGGAAAACCCATATACCTGGATGGTGACATTTTATTCAGAAAATGTTCTAAATTATGAAAATATGGTTCTGTTGATTACCCTTCCTTTTGAAGATCCTCAGAGACTTGGTCATAGAGAACTTGTATATTGTCGAGGTTTGAGTTGCCACAATAGTGATGGAAATCAAATGAAATATATCTGAATCAACAAGAAGTATAAATTAAAACTTCCCCTATATTAAGTAGGGAATGAAAGTCTAAAAGATGATGTTTTCATTTAGAAACAGAGCATGTGAAAATGATATGTAATATGCATAGATTTTCCATGAAAAATGAAAAGCTGCTATGATTCAATCTATCTCTCAAATTTCAGCAAGGCCGGAAAATCTTATCCTTCCTAATTGCACGTGATAATGGTGGTTGAAGAAGAAACAAAAAGTTGATCATGTACAAATGGCAACTGAAGCTGTCACCTGCTTTCATCTCCTCCTATCTTTTTCACTATTTTTTTTCCTGTAATCTTTCTTTAGTTTATCTCTCAGGTATCTTGTTAATAAGATTTTCAGAAGCCGAAAAGGCAAACAAATATTCTATTTATGATGTGTTTCAGTCATCCAAGTCACATGTTGACCTAGATAGTTTCTAATGTACTGACAATATAAAATATATTCCAATCAATGCATCAGAAACATGGCATAATCTGAAGCGCAAGTATAGGCACATATCGTAGAACCTCTTCTCAGCACCAAAATTGGAACTCAAGCAGAAAGAGACAATGACACATCTCTTTTGCATTTATACATCTCTTTCTACTAAAAATACAATCTTTTCAACATTTTATAACATCAAATCCAGACATCTGTTTTTCTAAAATTTTTCTGAAAAATAGAAATTAGTTTGACAAAAATAACATAATGATATTTTTGAATTTTAAAAAATTATTTTCTCCCTAAAAAATTAACCAAACCGATCAGTGGATGTCTAAGCAAACATCTATCACTGTGGATATTATCTGTTCAAAATTAAAGATTTCCATACTCATAGAAATCTAAAAAAAGCTCACAAATTGCAATGAACATGAAAAGAAAATCACCTCACATTTGGCAGCTTTTCCATTTCAGTAGCATATGCCATACTCAGTTGACCCTCATCGCCATGCTACAACACAAGATAACATAAAGATGAATATTTGCAATTGGAGAATACAAAACAATAATTGCATAAAATTATATGTAAACTTATGTGCATAAATTTCCAGTTTGGAATTCCATAAAGTGGACCAGTTGACCCAGAGAATGCCATGGAAACTGACTCAAAGAATGTAAAACATTTTTTGCTACCATAGTGATAATTTCCTATTTGAACCATCATAGAGTTTCTTTTACATAAAAAAAATAGACTTCAAAGAACAACATTCATATTTGTTACCTGGATTTCTCCACTTCCAGTAAGGAAATCATATTGAAACTACGCCTCAGGTTAATGTCCTAGCGTGGTGCTGGAAAGTCTTACCTTATCGGTTAGGTCAACTGCTACAGTCTCTCCATATCTTTCTATAATATCATGAAAATGGGGCTCCACAACCTTTGACTAAAGGAAGAAAAACACAGTTAGATGCTCATCATTACACAACTTAAACATAAAGAGCTGTATCCAGAAGAAAATACATACTGTTTGCTCATGATCAATAATATTAAGTCGTGGTTTATAGCTCAAATCAACAATTTACTCCCAAAGGAGTGGAATTGAACCTTGAATCTGAAGCAAATTAAGAAGTAGCTATTACTCATTGGTTCACTTGCTAGAAATTTACTTTGGGGTCCAGAGAAGAAAAAAGCAAGTCAGCCAGTGAATTGGTCCACTTAAGATATTGAGTTGAAAAGATATTAACCGGAACAATCAGTATCTGAAGGCACATTTCCTGTGGAAATAATACCTGTAAAAATGAAGACATAAAACCTTCAAGGTTAGCCCCTCTTCTCCACATTCGGGTCCCTCCATTCAATATAACAACTAGTTACTACAATGTTTTTCCATAGCCATATTAATAAGAACCAAAACCAGTGATGTCTATATTGCACTACCTAGGCGCCGTGTACACCTCCTTGAAATTAAAGTAATTGTGGCTGGTGAATTTTTCAGCTTGAGTTGTCCAGTCTGATAGCTTATGCCTTGGTTAAGTGAAAACACCATAAATAAGAAACTACTCTTGCATCCATAGTTACCTTTAACACGCACGCATGTGCTCATGCATAAACACATGCGCGCGCACACACACACAAAATAAGCATTGAAAAGCTTCAGGATATTCCCTTGTAACAGAGGGATGATAAACCCATCAAGCTGCATAGGAAAAATAAAACATATTAGACCAAGAATTTGTTTCAGTGATCATATTTCAGATGTCCAAATAGGCAACGTTGATTAATCACTTTGAAGTACTTGCTTTGTTTTTTATTACAAACTTAATGCAATATTTGTTTCCTAAGGAAAGACAGGTGAGTACAAAGCTATGATAACATCTTTTGAACATAAGAAATGTTAACCTTATTCTCAATGAGCTCCTCCAAAATATTTCTGTTCCAAACAAATCGGGGGTCAACCTGAAATACAAATAAGAATTCAGAATCCCAGACTATTCAGCAAAGTTGTAGCTACTGTTACTTGAAAACAATGAAAGAACAAAGAATGTTAAATTTTTTACAGACACACCCCAGACAATACTTGATAGTCTCTTACCAACAGTCTGTTATAAACAGATCTTACAACTATGGAGTAATGAACCAAATTCTGAAGAATGAAGAGAAACTTAATTATGATGAGTTTGAATTTTCTTGAACTAGTTAATATCTTCACCCAACTGTCATTTCAGTTTTTAAAAAGTAATCAAGCAACTTTGTCAAAGTACTGTATGAGTAATTTGGCCCACAGAGACATCTTTTTCCTTATATAGAAGTGTACAACATGCAATTTGGAAGTCACATTGATAATATCTGTTAAATTCATCAGGTTTGAGTTACTTCGAGTAAAAGTTAGCTAAGAAACACAGTAAGCAGACAAACCTGCTTCCAAATTGGTTTACTCATTACAGAGATACTAAAGTGCAAAGCTCATTAGCAGGAACAACTAATTAGCTAGGCTTATGGGCCTTCAAATAGCTCTGGTCTAGTTACGAGGCTTCAAATTATTTTGAAACAAGAAAACAAACAAAAAACAGCACTACAAGTCTACAATATTTAACCCTATTTTCTGACATGACTTTTGAAGTAAAGAAAGCTTCGATTAAAAATAGAAAACTCACCCCTTTTGACAAATAGATTTTTCTTTGCCATCTGTGTGCAAAACAGACTTTGATTCCTCATCAAACACCATCTCCTAAACCACAAAACCAAACCCAATAATAATTTAGTACAACAGAGATCGATTAATCAAAACAAATAATATAGGTAAAGATTGTGAAGATGAGAACCTGAAGGGCATCTTTGGCAGCAATGGCAAAAGGAGTAGTGAAGAGAGCGAAACCCATAGGATGTTCACGTTTGCAGTTAACCTACGAAGCCTCGTAATGAGGTAACCATCTGAGAAGGTTCTGGAGTTCTCTCTCCTTCACGTCCTCGGGGAGGCCCGATATGAAGATTGTTCGAACCTAGAAACCATCTAATGGATCTACTAATGATTTGAAAATGAATCGATCGAATTGATGAGATGAAATTGAAAATGTACCTCGTCGTTGGAGAGGCGATTAGGGTTTTCCATGGGCATGGAATGGTGGTGAAGAGGAGCAGCCGTGGGAGGAGGAGGAGGTGGAGGAACAGCCGCTGGTGGCCATTGCAGATGGTAAGGGTGGATTTTTGATAGGGTTTTTTTTTGGGGGGGAGGGGAGGGGGAGAGGGAAAAACGAGCGCGAAGGGAAAAATAAAGCTGAGCACTCAGATTGCGTTTTTTTTTTTTTTGCGACGGTGGTTCATGCGGTCGCAAAAACTTGCTTTTTTGTGACGGGAAGTAGTGCCGTCGCTTAAACCCGATTTATTGGCGACGGCAAGTGGTGTCGTCGCAAAAACTCACTTTTTGCGACGGGAATAGTGCCGTCGCAAATACTTCCGTGCTATATGCCCCTTTTTCTTGTAGTGCCGGCCCTTAGCAGTGACCAAAAACACAAGTAAATCTCAAACATCGAACCCACTACCTCGTAGCATACCAGCAAAGAAGATTGAAAAAAAAAAAATTGAGCAATCAAACCAAAGTGATACCAGCAAAGAAGATTGAAAAAAAAAAAATTGAGCAATCAAACCAAAGTGCAATCGCAAACGCAAAATTCAGTACCCTCCCAAGCCTCCCATGCCTCCCTTGTTCGGAAAAGATGAGTACAAACAAATTAAAAATCTTTGAAAGCCCACAAACAATTAACTCCAAAATTGCAGCTGCCGGTCATCATCGTACAGGACCAGAATTCACAAAACAAAAGCAAAATTCAGGATCATCCCAAGTCTCTGAATTTGACTTTTTTCAGTCAAAAAAAAAAAAAAAAAAAAAAAAAAAAAAATATGCAGAAGTAATGTGGATGACACAGTTAAGCTCTTATCAAGGTTGAAGTAGATAAAGCATACACAAAGACAGCCAATTAAATATGCTGTTGAACACTAGATGTTCTGTCTAAACTGTCTGCATATTTATCCACAAGCCAATTAAAGTTGCAGATTACAAATATACGCAATTACAAAGCTAAACGCATTCGCCATGTCCTTAATGCAGACCATGCCAAGCATACAAGAAGACTGAGGCACTTCTCTTTTTGCTAACCAAGTGAACTGGTCAGTATGTTTACTTCTTCATGCATACTCTTAGCAATCTAGAAACATGGACAGCAACATTGGAAAGCAGAGAAGATCAGAAAAAAATAAAAATAAATAAATAATAATAATAGTAATAAACTAAAATTATAGAACTTAAAAACTAGTAGATTTGGGGAAAACAAACTGATGCAAATAAACAATTTTAAGTTTAGAGTAGTAGAAATTTTAAGCATGTGGCTGAAGAGATGCAAAGAGCAACTTCATTAGCAAACAACCAACTGACAACAAGTAACAAACGATCCCTAACGCTTCCGTTTCTTTTTTCTTTTTCTTTTTTTTCTATTTCTATTTTTATTTTTTATTTTTGGAAATTGGAATGGAACACTTGTTTGGTATATTGTTTTTATTTTCAAATAAAAATAATATTGATTGTAAAATTTTCTATATTTTTTAAAACAAAAAAAAAAGTCCTTTCACTTATTCTCAAAACAAGGTTCTCTCTCTCCTCTCTTCCTTTCACCTTCGGCTGCTACCCACTAGTCGTGAGCTCCGGCCACCTTCTAGTGACTCTTTGTGGATTAACTAGTCACTATCGTGACCTAGCCATCTCTGGCTACTCCCCATTGTCAGTGGTTGGTTACGACATCAGTCTACCCTTAACCATTGACCACCACTTTTGATAACTCATTAAACATGTTTATCTATTTTTTTTTTCAAAATATTTTTATACACCAAATAAGCTTTTTGTTTTTATTTGTACTTGGAAAAGAAAAGAAAAAAACCTGTTTAGTGTTTTTTGTAAACACAACCAAAATTGACAATATTGACAAATGACACCTTGTAAAATACAATGAGAGTGACGATTTTCAATCTTTGATATATATATATATATATAAGCGGGTCTTACAATATACATTTACTAAAAAAATGTCACGCCCTCAAAATTAAACCCGTTATATGTATATCATCAACATGCATTATTTAAAGAAAACAATTTATTAATTCATTCATCAGAGTATTACTAAATAAAAACATTACATGTAACATCAAATTAAATGCCCTATGGGCTTACATCTTTCCAAGCCAACACTTGGACACAAAATATGAGTTCTAACTCAAATACAAATAAAGCCCTAGGCTTGATTATTTATCAAATAAAAACAAACAACTAAAGATAGTCTTCAAAATCCAAATCCTTCCAAGCTAAGTCCTGGGAGGTAGCTTATCACCTGGACCTGAAAATGATGTTCCCATAAAGGGTGAGCCACAGCCCAGTAGAAATATACTAAACCAAATATAAGCATTGAATAAAGCACCAGTATTTAATAGATGGTTAACCAAGATAATCAATTACGTCATTATACAGTCTCATGACACTAATGTCTAAAACACGTTTTACTTTCCAACATTATCAATATGGCTCAGAACCTGGCCAAACTTACAACAGTGAACTATATATACATCATATTCACATTCTTCCAATGTCAACAAACAATTGAGACTCAGGCTCAAATCAAATCACTTCATACTTCCAGTTTGATACACATTTTAGTGCTGTATCAATAAAACACTTCAATATAAATAAGCACACATAAAAGTGATGCTAATGGAGTCCATCCCCTATCTCCTCCCAAACAAAATCCGGTTTAGAGGTCCATCCCCTATCTTCCCCTAAACCGTGGAGTACATCCCCCATCTCCTCCCACACACAAAACAATGTATGCAAATGCAATATATATCATATTCACATTCTTCCAATGTCAACAAACAATTGAGACTCAGGCTCAAATCAAAACACTATACACATTTTAGTGCTGTATCAATAAAAACACTTCAATATAATAAGCACACATAAAAGTGATGCTAATGGAGTCCATCCCCTATCTCCTCCCAAACAAAAATCCGGTTTAGAGGTCCATCCCCTATCTTCCCCTAAACCGTGGAGTACATCCCCCATCTCCTCCCACACACAAAACAATGTATGCAAATGCAATGCCAAAACAATACACGTATTTTCTGTATTAATGCAATAGTCAAAATTAATGACTTAACCAATGTGATTAGTTTCATAACATGAGAGTGGCTGACCTCTACCCTGACTCTGGCTCTGAGATCGAGCCGAAGATGATGCTGCTCTCTGCACTCCTCCCCTCTGAGGACAAACTGGAGACTTGTGGCCCAGCTGGCCACACTTGAAACAGGTAATGTCTCCCTGACTACCTTTCCCCGAACTAGCACTCGGCACAAAAAAAATCAATCTAGAAAAGCTACCCTGAGACTGCTGAGGATTAAAACCCTTCTGTCTCCTACCATCACTCTGACCATCCTGACTCCTCTTAGTTACTAAAAAATGTCACGCCCTCAAAATTAACCGTTATATGTATATCATCAACATGCATTATTTAAAGAAACAATTTATTAATTCATTCATCAGAGTATTACTAAATAAAAACATTACATGTAACATCAAATTAAATGCCCTATGGGCTTACATCTTTCCAAGCAACACTTGGACACAAAATATGAGTTCTAACTCAAATACAAATAAAGCCCTAGGCTTGATATTTATCAAAATAAACAAACAACTAAGATAGTCTCAAAATCCAAATCCTTCCAAGCTAAGTCCTGGGAGGTAGCTTATCACCTGGACCTGAAAATGATGTTCCATAAAGGGTGAGCCACAGCCCAGTAGAAATATACTAAACCAAATATAAGCATTGAATAAAGCACCAGTATTTAATAGATGGTTAACCAAGATAATCAATTACGTCATTATACAGTCTCATGACACTAATGTCTAAAACACGTTTTACTTTCCAACATTATCAATATGGCTCAGAACCTGGCCAAACTTACAACAGTGAACTATATGTATTCATATTCACATTCTTCCAATGTCAACAAACAATTGAGACTCAGGCTCAAATCAAAACACTTCATACTTCCAGTTTGATACACATTTTAGTGTTGTATCAATAAAAACTTCAATATAAATAAGCACACATAAAAGTGATGCTAATGGAGTCCATCCCCTATCTCTCCAAAACAATCCGGTTTAGAGTCCATCCCCTATCTTCCCCTAAACGTGGAGTACATCCCCTATCTCCTCTCACACAAAACAATGTATGCAACACATAACATATACAACAACAATCAATACACATAATGTCTGTATTATTCAGCAGTCAAAATTGATGACTTAATCAATGATTAGTTTCAGTTATCCCTCATCCAATGCAGTGTCTACAACAAGCACGACTATCCCCACGATAGCCCAAAACGTTATTTCTAGACTTGGAATAAATATATCAACAATTCCATAGGCGAGTGATTTATTATTACAACTACACACAATTTAATCAATAAATTTCCCAATTTCATGAATTTAACCAATTTCCAATTCCCTTAAATTATTATACAAATTAATTATTAATACAACCAGGGTTTTCCCAAAATTATCAAAGTACCCCAACATATCAATATACAAATCTTAGAACAAAACTTATAAAATGGAGTTGGAAATCCCTACTCGAAGAAATAGCACCAAAAGAGAAGATGGAGGTGAAGACCCAAACTCCAGAGTGCTCCAAACTACAACAATTCAGATTAAACGAAGCCTCGACTCACACACTCTTTTTAATGAAGGATCTAGGGTAGAAACACACCCTAAGTGGAATCAAATCTAAGGAGAGAGGTGAGCAGGGTGAGAGAGAAGTCGGACCTTAGGGTTTGGAATCTAAAAAGAGGATGAAAACTAATTAAAAAACCGCTGCTGTCTAATTAAACTGGACAGGCTCGCTCGAGCGAAGACTTGGTCGCTCGAGCGACCAGACACATGAAACACGCTCGAGCGAAAGAAGCTCGTCGAGCCAAGAATGCAATGCTAAGGTCTGCACCTGGAGCACGCACGAGCGACAGAATGCTCGCTCGAGCAAGGAACTCGAAACAAACACCTCGCTCGCTCGAGCGAAGAGACTCTCGCTCGAGCGAATAAGCATGCCCTCAGGTCTAAACCAAATGCAGTCGCTCGCTCGAGCGAAGCAAATCTGGATCGAGCCAGAAGACAGAAAACAAACCTCTGCTCGAGACCAAATCCTGGCTCGAGCAACCAACCCAAAAACTGGACAGCAACACTTGGTTTACGAACCAACCAACCTGAAACAAACCTGCCAACACATCCTATAACTCAAATAAGGAAATAAAGAATGACACAACAATTATACAATGACAGATCTACGGAACCCAAGTCCGGTACAATAATCAATGGGAAAAGACCGGGTCGCTATAAAAAATATGTATCATATGCAATTTAGTACCACAACAAATAAGTTATAATAGCACTACTAGATTCATAACTAATGACATTTTTTGTCATAACTGAAATAACAACCATAATAGAATAATTTAGAGACCCAAATGTTTTGCAAATCTTCTATCAAATGTGTCACATGGGCGTAGGGCCACATAGAACCACATGGTGTGGGTTCCACACACATGTGAGATGTTGGTAAAACATTTGGGGTCCTTAGCATTTTTCATCATAACATGTCATAACTAAATTATATTTATATCAAATAAGTCATCCAACACCATAAAGGTTGTAATTGGGGTACAGTACGAGAATTATTCAATGCTCTTAGAGTAATACTCTATTCCATTTACAGGTTGACACTTTAACACTTTCTCTCCTAAAATTCTAGCACAAAAGTGGTGGTCCATGCAGGCCCGGCCCTGGCCATAGGCCCACAAGACCATGGCTTAGGCCTCAAAATAGGCCAAAATAGGGGCTCCCTCTTATTATAAGTTAGTATAATATATTACGTATGTTTTAAGTCCAAAAACAAAAGTTAAAAAAAACCCCAAACTAACTTAATGTTTTTGACTCATTAAAAGGCCAATAGTTAAGGCCCAGCCCAACAGTTTGAAAGGCCTTTTTTTTTCTAATTCCTAACCCTATCTTCTCTCTTAATCCAACCTTCCCCACATTTGTTTGATAGCACACGCAGCAGCCCAAGCCAACAAAGCAAGCAACGAAGCAGCAGCACACGGACGGAGTAGCAGCAAGCAAGGTAA